GGGAGCTTTCCTACAGCAGCCTTTCTGCTCAGCCACCAGCGCTCCCTCCGTACAAAGCACACAGACGCCCTGGCCACGGGCGGACCGGCCTTGCGTGCGCGCTCCCAAGGCTCCTTGGCCTGCCATGCTCTGCTTCTGGGTCCCTCCTCAGCCCGGCGCCAGGGGGGACCCCGCCACCCAGGCCCCTCTGGCCATCTTGCGCCCTGAAGATCTGCATTGGGCTTGCCCGGTGCCCCTCGACCTCCAGCTCAGGGAACTGGGCCTGCAGGCGCCTCTGAGCCTGAGAAGGGCCCAAGGCCGTCCTCACCGCCCCAGGGCCTCGCTTCAAGGCCCGGTGGCCTGCGATCTGTCAGTTCTCTGCGCGCCCTCGCTCCCCCCACCCTCCCCCCAGGATGCGGCCAAGGACCCGGGGCCACCAGACAGTCGTGGCCGGGACGCCTGGCCCCCTCTCCCTGCCTCTCCGCTCCCTCCAAGTTGCCCTAAGAAAATAAATACAAGTGACACGGTGCGAGGCCAAAGCTCATTAGTTCGTTGTCCAGGCCTAATAAACGAACAGAAGCGCAAATTAGAGGGCTCAGCCTCCGCGCACGCTCTGTCACCCGACATCAGCGGGCCTCCGGCCTGATTCGGGGGGCTCTCGGCTCGCTGCGCAGCCCGCCCCACCCCCTCCGCCCCTTCAGCGGGAGGCAGGGTGGAAAAACATAGTTCCAAAGGGGGTAATGATCAAGCTTTTCCTCCCGGAAGCCTGCGCCACCTCATTTCCCATCAGTAATCCCAATAAAATTAACGTCGTGGCTGCGATTGCAAAGAGGAGGGCCCGCGACACCCCTGAAATAACACACTCTCCCCCCCAGGCCCCCCCCCCAGCCAAAGGTAAAATACGCAAACGGCCCTTTGTTCCTCTCATTAGCCAAGGCCCCGCTCCGAAAGCAGATGTGTTTCTTAGCTAATCACAAGCATGAGTCTCTCAAGGAACGTCATTTTCAGGGGGCCGCTTGGGGGGCGGGGGGATGACAGCGCACCCCCACACCCAGGCCCTCTCTGCCTCAGGGGTGTCTCACCCCAGACCAAGAGCCACAGGCTGAACCCAGGCAGCCCGTCTCCCACACCCCGACCCCACCTACCGCCCCCAGAGGCCCAATAGCCACACCTGGGCCCCCATGTCAGACCTGCAAGACTCCAGGGGGGGAAAAATAAAAGTTTTAACGACACAGATGCCATATTGAATGAGGCAGCTTGACAATTCAGTTTGACTAGGACGCTAACTTATTGCAAGTGTGTTATCAGAAGGATGCTAAGGTTTATAACTCCAAGAGTCAGCTTTTTGCCTTCATGACAACGGGGGTGACGCGTGGAAATCTGTTCTCTAGGAGACACGAGGGCCCCTTCCCTGTTTGGGGGCACCTACAGATATGGGGGGGCCGACCCCAAGCCCCCTTTGTGTCCTGATGGGCAATTTGTCCTTTGCCCTTTAGTTCTGAACCCGGGTCTCCTGGCTGATGAAGTGCCTGGCCCAGCTTTGTAGCCTGAGCTTGGGGGGGAGAGAGAAAAAAAGTGGGGGGCATAGAAGAGGGATGGCGTTGGAGGTGAGAGGGGACAGTTCTCAGCCCTGGGGTTCACGCAGCCAAACGATTCCCCAGTCGCCCTCCCTCTGCCCCACGGAACATGGCTTTCCCCTAAACCAACACGGTAAGCAAACTTTCAAAAAACGGGGGTCCTATTACCAACCAACGCCCAGGACTAACTGCTTTAAAATTACTGCATAATTAGATTTAGCTGAATTTCACCATTAATTAGGCAGCCGCGCGGCAGGGAGCCTTTGAAATCTGAGAAAATGGGAAAAAATCATCTGAGGCACGTTTGGAGAAACCCAACTTCAATACATCTGGACGAGGCCCAGCATTCGGACGGTCCCCTTCCCCCCTCCCGTCCCCGGCGGCCGAGGGGTCGGGGCTGGGGCT